TAGCCCTACGTAGCTGCGTAGGCGCTCTTAGATTTTTTTCAGGAATCGGCCGGCCGCTGCAGCGATCATGGCCCCCGGCCGCTGCGCGGCCCGGTGCCAGGTACTCCACGGCCCGGCACCGGTCCGCGGACCGGCACCGGTCCGCGGACCGGGGGTTGGGGATCACTGTTCTAGACCAACCCCCTGTTCAAAGCAGGACACCTTGTACTATCCTGGTCAAATGGTTGTTCAGACAATTTTTGAAAACCTTCTCTAATGGAAAACCCACAGCTCCAGGAGACAACCTATTTGATTAATTGTTCTCACTGTCAAATTACCTCCTAAATTTCACCTCTATTTAACAACCTTCCACTTATTTCTTGTCCTGCCCTCTGCTGCTTTAAAGTCAATTCTCTTTTTTCTCTAGTACTAGAAGACTGTTACCATATCCCCGTTACTCCTTTTCTTTGGTAAACTAGATATATCTAGCTGGTCATCATATCATTTAACCTTCAGACCTTTTAGCATCTTCATTGCTCGTTGCAGTTTCTAGGGTCTCACAATCTTATTTGTATTTGGCAACCAAAACTGGATACAGTATTCCTAGAGCAGTATGTAAGGGTATTATCATTTCTCATAAAGTTGATGTTATCTCTCTGTTGATGCAGTCTAGGATTGCATTGGCCTTTTTTGGTACCTGCAGTACATTGCTGCTCATACTTTACTGATGTTCCGCTAGTACCCTTAAGATTTCCTCTCAGTTACTATTATTGAGGCATGTATAGCTTATTCTGTACCTATTGCATTTGGTTTTTCCTACTTAAGTGAGGTTTTAATTCATAATTTTAAATCCCGTGGACCACCAATATGAATTTTAAAAAAAGATAAAGAGCATTTAGTACAATATAAAAAATGCAAATAATTTTTCTGCGGACCCCTAAAATTTTATTGCGGACCACCGGATGATGTCCGCTGCTCTACATGGTACCATATCCATAAATGTACTTCTACTATATTCCCTCATTGGATGTTAACCTTTTTCTGTTGACAGATGAAAGCACTACCTGTAATCCTGTCTCTGGCTTTCCTGCCTAATTGCCCATCATTCATTGAAATTGTTTTCAGACTCTTAGTTGTATCAAATTTCTGATCTTTACACCTGGTAAACAACATACTTTTCTTAAAGAAATTGTATGGTCTACAAATTGATGACTGTTCCTCTGAAAACTGAGTCATCGATTACCAACATATGCCTTTTTGGGAAAGTCTGAGCTACTTTATTTCTTGTTACTGAAACCTTACTTCTTATCACTGAAACATTTGAGAAAGTCTTTTCTTCAGCTATGTGTTTCCTTCCTGGGGGACAATATGAAACTGACTGCCTAGTTTTAGAGAAGGCTTGGGTTGCCTTCTCAATCTTTCTGTTCTTTACCTGACATAGTACTCTTATTCTTCCTCTTGTCTGGATAGACACTTCTGATTTTAACAGTTCATCATGTTCTTCAAATTCACTATTGAAACTTGCCTAAACCATAAGATGGGTGGCAAATTAATCTGATAAATAAACAAACTTGAAAGTGTTTAGTATGGGTGTGTCAGGAATTTCTGTGGCTTGACTTGCCTTCAAATTGTTTGCCTTTTCTTCACTAATCTAACCAATTTACACCTATTGCAAGTGTCAGTTGAATCCTACATAGATAGGAATACAGACATTGCATAGACATTGCATGTAACAATGTTACTAGACTCTTTTCCCATGGCTTTGTTATTTTTCATGAAAAAAATTATTCTATAGTATTTTTTACAACTCCATAAGAAGCAGGCAAATAGTGGTTTTTCTCTTGTGGCACTATTTATAAATACTCAAGAAGTAGAGCAGAGTATTTATTTAAAAAGTAGAAAACATATCTAAAATAAAATCAAGAAATAAAATAGTTTTTATAAAAAGGGAAAAATTATACGTATAGAAATAATAAAAATGAAACACACACACACATTGTAAAACAGAAAAATACTAACACAGAAGAGTGCTATTGAATATTTCTTTTGTTTTCTTCATTTCCCGCAAAAGGACATGTTTTGCAACACCATTTTTAAAAAAAACAGAAAAAAGAAGGTAGGTTATAACTTGAAACTCAAAGAAACATGGTCAGGGAATTTATTTGGAATGAATTTAAGTCTCCAGGGTCAAATTAATTGCATTCTAAATACTGAAGGAACATCTCAATAATCTAATCAAGTTAACAACCAAGTAAGGAAAGATTTCTGCAAGAGGTAACAAGCTAATCAGAACTTACCAACAGTGCAAAGATTCAAATGAAGACATTGCATAGCAGGATGCTGTAGCTAGTAATAACTTAGTTAACTCTGTGAGAACTGATAAATTTGATTCTGATTTCAGACTGCCACAAAAATTCTGTATGGGAATGCTACAACTAAGTTCTAACAAGACAGAAAGCAGATTAACAATTTATAGCATAAAATGATGAGTTCAGGGTATGGATTAATGAATAAGATACCTGGGATGTAAAGAATTAATTAAAAGTACTGGAAGAAATTCAATATATCAATCACAGATGAACAGATGTAGATGAACCTGAGGGAGAGGTCAAGTCCATCATCAGTCTCGAGCCCCTTTGTGCCCACAAAGGATCTAAGTCCAGCTCACTTGAATTCACTTCAACCGTTAGTAGTTCAGATTTTTAGAGAGAGTGTTAACCTACAATAAACCTTATTCATTTGAACCAACTTGGCTTCTGATTTAATGCGCTTGACATACTTCACTTTGCTACATTTTTGTTTCAAATATTGCTCTTCAGTTATCAGCAATAAGCAGAGAACAGGGTGTAGCAAATTGTAATAGGGTTACAACATCTCTTTGCAAGGCACTCTGGAGAAGCCTTGATGCATATCACGCCTTAAAAGCTATAATTATTGTGCAGATTTCCTTCTTCCCTCTTCATTTTCCAAATAGAGAAAAGGGTAAACAAAGCAGCTATTGTTTTGCAGATCCTCCGACAATCTAAAATGCTCCTAAGTGTTTGGAATGGTGTGAAGCTAAAGAACAAACTCAGCATTGGTATTATACTTCAAGAAAACCTCTTTCTTCACATAAGAAGCACAGTGATGACTGTGTATTACGCATATGTTGTTTTAGTTTCCCAAGAAAAGTGTTCTTCATCAAGGCAATTAAAAGTACAATAATTTATTACTTTATTACACTAGTAGACTCAACCGTGATCTGAGTTAAACTCTGCTTCCCAAAGAGAATGGGGCTAGGAACCTCTCTGTGTCGTATACACTCTAAATGTTATGCAAAACATAGAGCTATACACTGAACAATAAATAATTTTCAAATTAAAATATGCAATATAAGTATGCCTTACTTGATCGCCCAAAGATCCAATATCCTTCGCGAATATTTTGTGTACACATGGGTATAATAGGCTAAAGAAAAAAATAGATTTTTTTTTATAAAAAATAATTATATTGAAGTATTAAGAGACCATCAGCCCCTATTTAATTTATTTATTTATACAGGTAGTCTTTCAACTTTCAACAGTTCATTTAGTGACTGTTTGAAGTTACAATGGGACTGAAAAAAGTGTCTTGGGACAGTTTTCACACTTACAACCATTGCAGCAACCGCATGGTCACATGATCAAAAATAAGAAATTTGACAACTGGCTCATATTTATGACATTTGCAATGTCCCTGGGTCATGTGATCACCATTTGCGACCTTCTGACAAGCAAAGTCAATGAGGAAGCCAGATTCACTTAACAACAGTGTTACTAACTTAAGAACTGCAATGATTCACTTAACAACTGTGGCAAAGAAAGTTGTAAAGTGGGGCAAAACTTATTTAACAACTGTCTTGCTTAGCAACAGAGGTTTTGGACTCAGTTCTGGTCATAAGTCAAGGACTACCTGTACTTCATATTTCTTAATTTCCCATTTCCCTTGTAGAGGGGCTCTGGCCAATACACAATATCTTTAATACAATGAAGCATTAGAATAATTTAAAATTAAAAGTTTTGAAATGATAAAAAACATCATTATAAATTTTTTAGAAGGTGAAGAATTGGTCCAAGAGGCACATGTGGCTGTTTTGAATATGTAAGTGAGGAGTCAGGTTCCTCGCCATTTTAAGCTACTCTTTGCACAAAGGTTGGGATAAACATTAAACTCTGGGGCGCCCCTTATTTTGATTCACTGAGGTCTTTTCACAGAGCAGGTATCATAATTTCTTACTGATCTTGCTTAGTTCTGATGCACACACCTAACATTCTTACCTTTTCTAACTCAACCTGCACTTAAGATATACCTAATTATTATCACTGATCGACCATAGTTTTTCTTAATACTTAAGGACTTTGCCTTTTAGCCTCATAATCTTCAATTTCTATATGCTTAAAACAACAACAATCATAATGTAGTGATGTCTGGTCAAATAATTTTATTACATTTTGCAAAGCATACACATAAAAACAACAGCATAAACTAATGATCAAGAAAAGATAAAGAGTAAAAAGAGAATAAGGATAGAGAAGTATAAAGAAAAAGAAAGGAAAACACAAATATATACAAACAATGACACCTGGCTGCTTCCAAGGATATGAAAACTCTTTTTTCTATTTTCCCTTTTCTTTTGGAAAGAAAATGAACATTTTGTTACGGTCTTAAACTAAGAGTATATAATTTAGTAATGTTTGGATTGCAGTCACATTAAATATCCACCCAAATTAAATATCAATCAATTATTCAATCATGTAGCAGGGAGTTCTGGATTATATCTTACATTTGTCTTGCTCAATGTCCATAATATATTTGGTTATTCACAGTTACTTCTATGTAGTATGCATCTCATGAACCAGAATGGCTTTTTTTCAAGCACAAATTATAAAGATAAACTATATATAAATATAGAACATGCAGTATTCCTTCTAAAATGGAAGCAATAATGTAACCCAGAAAAAATAAGGAACTTTTTTAGGGCCAATGACACAGGAAATTTGAACACTTGCAGTATATACTTTCATAAAAGTTTCCTGTTGCATATTGTTTGTTTGTTTGTTTGTTTGTTTTATTAGTTTTGTATGCCGCCCACTCCCGAAAGACTCCAGGCGGCTCACAATAAAACAGGGAAAGGGGAATAAATAAGACGACACAAAAATTTTTAAAATGCACAACATTCACAATTGAAGCAGGGCTGGATATTTCAACAGCCCCCAGCCTGTCGGAACAGCCAGGACTTGGTAGCTTTACGGAAGGTCGGGAGGGTAGTAAGGGTCCGGATCTCCACGGGGAGCTCATTCCAGAGGGCCAGAGCTGCAACAGAGAAGGCTCTCCCCCGGAGGATCGCCAGCCGACATTGGGCAAAGGTCCCCCTGGTCACAGCCGACAGATGATGTTCTAAAGTCAGCTGCGGATCCAGGAGGACTCCCAAATTGTGAGCCCTCTCTGAGGGGCGTATAAT